CAATGGCAAGCCTGAACCGCTGCTGCAAGCAAATTTGTAATGTCACGCTGATGTGGCTGATAGCACAATGCATATATGACAATTGTCACTTCAGTTATAAACAGAATACCAAATTATACCAAACTTATCAAAAATGATACCTGAATATATTTCTGAAGAAAAGAATAGAATTCTAGCAAAATTAAATGGTGAAGTCCAACAGTTCGAGCAATCAATTTCAAGATCATCATCTTAACCTAAAAATTACAGAGGGTAATTGTAGAACCAAGTAAATATGTAATTCAGAATAACCATAAGAAGATTTTAAAAGGAAATGCAAGTCTTCATTTACAACATTATAGGACTGCTTCTTTAATTTTAATTAGAGTATGCACCTCAAATCGTTCATTACAATTCTTAAGACGTGCAAACAGCTTCTCAGCAAAACCCTGCAGATCATATGTGGAATCAAGACAATGATTTGATACATACAACAAATTTCTAACCCAAAATGTATCTATGACAGATGATAGAAAACTTTACAAACCTGAGCATCTTTCAGGTGGTTAAGTGGTGAATAATAACTGTTATTTGTCTTTTCAGTCGACAGGCGCTGCTTCCTTTTCATGCTGCGTATGGCACGTTCTAGTTTTGCTTTCTTTTTCTTTTTGCTCGCTGATGTACCTTGGTGGCTTGCCTAAAATTATGTAATAATGACCAGTAATTATAGACGAACTGCATGCAAACTTGAACAAGTACTACCCGAAACATGACAATGGATGCAGCTACAAAAGGTAGCTTAGACCATTGTATGGGAGTTTTATTAGTTAAGGAATGAAATGTTTAAGAACAAGATAAACTCAAACCACTTTATACTGATGAAACCTACCAATTTCTGTACCACCCAATTTGGTGGGATTAGTATGAATGTTAATTTACAATTTTAACCTTAAAGGTCTTTTGTTTGAGAAAATATCTTCATCTTCATTTCTAGATACAAAAATGCTACATTGTTTCCATGTTATTTTCTGTTTTCAAATAGTTGTAATGAAATAATTAAAAACAACGAGGCATTCCCTCACTAGTAACAGACTTCACTCCACTAGCTCCCATGTCATTTCCTATTCTACCCCTGTTCCTTTTTTCCCTTCTGTGATACACCTTGAAGGGATGCCCATCAAAATATATATGAAAGCCACTGATTAAAATGTTACACAATATCAATTAAAAGGTTATCATTTGACCTCACCTTATAAACTGTCTCCCTGCTAAGAACAACTTGAGGTGATTCAGTCCTTTCATCATCACTGCCTGAATCATCACTATCATCATCATCTTGAATCTTCTCATAATCAAGCAAAAATGATAAAGCTGCTATCATAATCCTGAGAGACACACAAAAAATCACAATTCTTAGGCCTATTATAAAATTTTGCAACGGTAACCCAACAAATACAAAAAAGGAAAGAAAAAAAAAACCTCGATGATTGATGGAAGGAAGCAGTGCAAATTGCATTTGCTGTTCTCTCGTCAAACCACACTTTTCTCCTGTGAAGCTCACATAGGGTAACGAGTGCCCTCTTGGCTGGCTCTTCATCGTCTTTCTGTTCAAAAACACAAAAATTCACTAACCAGTTAGAAGAATTTTGTATTTCAAAACCAAATAAACATGCAGACAGAAAACCTCAAATAATAAAACAAAGAATGAGAAAAGATTCAAACCAGAAGAATGTCAAACAAGATATTCTGAAGCACTCTGTTCTTGGCTTCGTTCTTATGCTTTTGGTTCATGCGTCTTATACTGTGAACCACATGATCAAACGCTAACTTCTTCAATGTCCTGTCACCTAGGGTTTGAAGCTCCATGAACAACGCCAGTGTTTCTCCAATATCAACAATCTACACAATGCAACATCAATCAAAACCACGACACAACTCTTACAAAACAACATTGACTCGAATTCAACGCTACACTACTCTCACAAAACGATGTTGAATTAAATTTTAAACTACTCTCACAAAACGACAATGAATCAAATTCGACACTACACTACACTCACAAATCAGCATTAACTCAAAATTGACACTACTCTAAAAGAAACAACAATCTACACAATAAAATTGAATGCAACATCCATCAAACTCCTTTAACAAAACGATATTGACTCAAATTCCACACTACTCTCCCTAAACAACATTGAATCCAATTCAACACTACTCTCACGAAATAGCGTTAACTCGAATTCAGCACTACTCTAAACGGAACGACAATCTACAATATAAAACCGAATGCAACATCAATCAAAACCACGACAGTACTCTAATGAAACGACATTGACTCGCTGAATCGAATTCCACACTACTCTCACGAAACAACATTGACTCGAATTCGACACTACTCTAAACGAAGCAATAATTTACATAATAAAACCGAATGCAACATCAATCAAGATTCAAAAACCACGACACTACTCTAACGAAACGACCTTGACTCGAATTCGACCCTACTCTCATGAAACGACACTAACTCGAATTCGACACTACTCTAAACGAAACAACAATCTACACAATAAAATCGAATGAAACATCCAACAAAACCACAACACGACTCTAACGAAACGACACCGAATCGAATTCGAACCTTCCGATTGGCGAGGAGTATGAGAGCTTGAGTAAGGTTGCAGCGCAGGCCCGAAGGCAGCGTGCGCGCGGCTCCGCGAAGCAAATCGGCGAGTTTGCGCGGGAAATCGGCGAGGTGTTTGGGGTAAAAAGGAGTGACGTGGGAGAGAAACGTGGCTCTGTCGCCGAGATCCTTGGAGACGGTGGGATCGCTGCCAATGCCGCTGACGGAGGCGAAGTTCATGTCGGCTTGTTTCTGAAATAGGTCGAGCGAGGAATTGAATTGGTTGTAGAGAAGGAGAAGCTCCGATTCGTAGCCTTCTGGATCGCACTTCATCTTTGATTGGAGCAATGGAAGGCTCAGCTTCTCGGAACTCCGTCCTGACGCCAGAAGCGCCTCCGCCGCCGCCGCGCCGTCGAGACCCATGCTGAGTCTTTTCGTTCGTTTAGTCTCTTTTCGTTTCCCACCACCGAGTAAGGGATGAAAGAAAAACCTACCATAAACCCTTATTATTTATTTGTTTTGAATTTAAAGATTAAAAAAAATAATGAAAAGTGTATATTTTATTTACTTTTTAAAACAACAAATTTAAGACAGACTTTAACAAAACTATTTTGTACTTATTTTTCAAAACATTTTTATTTTTACAGTAATTTGTTAGCTTAATTGTATTTTCCTCTCCTCATTATTGTTATTTTGCAAATTTAGTCCTTTCCTTCTATTTAGTTACCGCTGCTTTAATCGTGAAATTTTCATGAATTTATTAACTTGATATTTAATATATAATATTTAACAAAAATGTTGAATAATATTGTATTATTATTTTAGTTTTTTTTCATATATTAATATTTTAGTTTATATAATATACAAGATAACTTTTATTTTATATAACTAAAAAATTTATAATATATAATTATATTATAATTAAAATTTATAATAAAAATAAATATTTTGCTCATATAAGTTATGTGATAAATAACTTATATTTTGATATAAAGTTGTTACTGATATTTAAAATATCAAATTTCAATTCAAAATAAAAAAAATTAATAAATTAAAATATATAACACATCAAAAATAATTAATAATTACTTTTCTGACCTATGTTTAAGTTGACGTGAATTGTAAACAAACATACATTAATATATTGGTAAAAAATTTGGGTTAACTAAAATAAAATTGATGAACAATTTTTATCAAACACTTGATTTTGTTTTTATTATAAACATTAGATGTTAGAAGTTAAGTACTTGAATTAACACGTGAATTTATTTTTTTTAATAGTGGACAAATAGGTAAAAAAAAATATAATTAAGCTAATTCTTAACCAGAGTTAATTGGGATCTTAAATTACATTAAATATTCTAAACTTTTTTAATCCTACCCATTCAAACAAACAAAAATTATTAAAACATTAAAAATATGCATTTATTAAAACAATATATATTCATTAAATAGAAAATATAATAGGTACGTTTACTTAAATTAAAAATTAACAATTTTTTAATGAAGTAAGTAGTTTTCTACCTTTTTATGTATTATTTTAAAAAATTTAAAAAATAAATTTCTTTTTTTTAGTAAACAAATTTTTTCTACTTTATTTAAATTTTTTTTTATTGAAACACTTTTTAAATTTAATTTAAATTTTAATAAAATTTACTTTACGTTAATGTAAGATTCATATATGTGTGTAAAAAGAATCGTAAGTTCTTATATCTCTTGGGTTACATGTCAGTAAGAAACTCAAAGGATGTGTTTCTGATAATGAGGCTTCGACTTCCCAGTTCAGCCGCCATGATTCGTTGTAACTCACTTCACAACCAGGTTCTCTATTTTTACTTTTTTTTTTTTCTGTTGCCTTTTGCTCTTCATTTCAATCCATGTTAACTTACTTCAGTTTAACGTAGATTGTTTCAAACCTTGGAAGTGAAGAGTTTACACAGAAGGTACTCAACAGAAGATGGACACTGCCAAGCCCCGAAACAAAAATTCACCAACTAATCCACACACAAGCCCCTACTCTTTTATTGAACACCCATCCATCTTTTGGTGTCCATGATAAACAAAGCAAGTACTTTTACATCGTTCGGGATGATTTGTTGCACCCTCTTGTTAATGGCAACAAAGCAAGAAAACTCGATGCACTACTCCCTCTGCTTCACCATTCTTCTGTCACTGATGTGGTACAATACAACACAACATTCCACCAACTCATTACAGTAATGCTTTCACAAATAATAATTGTTGTTTGGTGTCTCACTTTATTGGCTTCTCTACACCAAGATTAGATTGTTGTTTCCTGCAGCCATATAGATATATAGGGTATTAATATTATTCACTTGCAATCTTCTTGAGTTGTTGCAAATTATTGTTTTGGTAGTACTTATTTTGTCACACAATTTTCTCAATTTTAGGATTTTCTGAGATTAAATAACATTCAACAGGGTCAATTTCTAGGTTACATGTGGAGGTTGTCAGAGTGCTCACACAGCTGCTATTGGTAGGTAGCTTTATTGGTTGTGGTTATAATTGTGCTGTGAGTTTTGAGAGGTGAAGTGTACTTTTAGTAGAGCTTTATTATATAGTGAGTGTTAAGTGTTGAGTCATCTAAAATCATGTTGAAATATTGGCTAATGTGATTTTAGATAAATGCTCGCATATTTGATATTTGGTTCACATGTTTGGTCTCACGTTAAAGAGTTGATTTAAATCCAGAGTTGATTCTGAACTGAAGTAATTTTGAGTAGCCTTCGTGTTAGATAAATTTTTTTATACCACTTATTACTAACTTGCTTCAAGAAAAAAGTAGCCAAACATAAATCATTTCACTGCAAAATAAATTCTAACCAAAGTGTGTGATAGGAAATTGGATTAGTTGTGACTTGCGAGTTAAACTCGCCATAATTTTTATAAGTAACAAATAGTTGCTTTTATGGTGAACTTACCATCATAGTTTTTTACCACCAAACCAAACAAACTAAAATCAAAGTCACTTTTGCAAATGCTCTTCCAAACACACATTTAATGGTAATACTATTCTTTCTAAACCATGATTTACTTATTTTGCAGCTGTTCTGTGTGCTGAGAGAGGAATTGTGTCACATCTGCTTCTACGAGGAGAGCAGCCTGAAATCTTGACTGGCTATAACTTGATGTCTACTATGTATGGAAATGTCACATATGTTCCAAGAACTGTTTATGCCAACAGGGAAGAGATGCTAAAGAGCTATGCTAATTCAGTGGCTGGTAACAATGGTTCTGTCCTATGGTTCAGTGATATCATTCAGGCTTCTTCAGCATCTGAATTGTCCACTTCTCCAAATTTTATGCAAATGGATGTAAGTAGAAGCGAGGGGAACCATCTACGAAAGATTTTAGTTGTCAATGAAGGTGCTGGTGATTCTGTTGCTCTACTAGGTAATAAAAAGATGGAGTTTGAAAAACAAAAATGAATATCTTCAGGAACATTCTCTTTTAACTAGGTAAAACTACAGATAGAATTGGGATTGAGCAATCAGAAGTCTTGCTTAGGTAGTACCTATATGTTTTCCTAGATAAAAATAATTTTGTTTGCCGATGTACATACTTCTGGATGTTTCATGAACATGTAATAAAGCCTTAAGATCAAACATCAAGTAAGGTCTGAATCCTATTATAATCACAAAGAAACAAGCATCTTATTTACACACCATATTCTTAAATAACAATAAATCGGTTTAAAAGGACAGCAAAATTCATATGCAATTATGCAAGTAATAATGTGAAACCTTTTTTCTGCCTGACATGTATTTTCATGTGATTTAGTTGTTCATAGCACTGTATTGTCTATACATGGCCATACTTTTTGAGAATTTACATATCGACATGTTTTCATGTTCATACTACTGGCTTTTGTTCTAAAAGGAAATATTTCTCACTTTTATTTGTTTCATTTTTCTCTAAGCTGGTGATTAAATTTAGTTAATTTTAATGGTTGGTTGTTCAATAACGTTATGAAAATATTTCTTCCCTGTGTAGGTGTTATTCGTTTAGTGCAATACTTATCACAGGATCATTTACTTGGAAAACAAAGGCCCATAAAATTTGTTGTAGATGCTGGTACAGGCACAACAGCTGTTGGTTTAGGACTTGCAGCTCATTGCTTAGGGTGCGGTTCA